TGCTTCTCTTATCTCCTATATTCCATCTTCATGCATTCCCTTCATCTGTCATTTCAGTGGGGGCTGTTTGTATATTTGCCTTTCTACTTTTCCAAAAAAGCTTTATGTGTTGCCTTGAAATTAGATTTGAGCACTGCCTGCCCTCTAAGTAAATAATACCACGGAAACGATAAGCTCCATAATCCAGCGGTAACACTGACATTGTGATATTCCATAATGCAGAGAACACGCCCTTCACAGGACCTGAGCTAGCCGTTCCTCCAGGGAAGGCTGGTGCTGAGCCATACAGACCCTGCCCCCTGCCAGTCAGACAGAATCCCTCGATGTTACATAGCAACTGCCTACCATGAAGCCTGCCTCTTTATTCCCTCTGAGCTTGGTTTAATATCCACTTTTCAAGTAGGAGATTCATTTTGGAACTATTTTCAGGGCAAGAATAGAGACATCCTTAAGGATATATTAGCTGCATTACTTTAATCCAATGAAAAACATAAATCTCTCACCCTGCAATAATCTCAGCACAGAGGAGGACAAGCAGTCTCCCAGATGGGCCTCCTTAGATGAAAAATAGCCTGAAAATATACCAACGACCAGGGTATAAGACAGAATTTGGAATAATGCAGGCCTCTTTGGGATCCTATCTTCAAGGATTTAGTTACAGAGGACCAAAGAATTTTTTAACACATGGTTTCAGACAAATTTAACATCCAGCAAGCCCAGGTCACGACTGGGCTTCAGACCTCCTCTATCAACCCACCACTCCCAAGACCAGCATGTCTGAATCAGAACTCACCACCTCCCTCCTGCTCCTGGATTTCTGATCTCAGTTAATGAGGTCGTTATCCACCCAGCTATCCAACCAGAAACCTGGCAGTTATTCTAGACTCAGCTCTTCCCTCAACTGTCTCCCCATTCCTCCCGAATCTCTAAGTCCTGGAGATTCCATTTTGCCTCTTGCATCCCAGCCCATAGATCCTATTTTAATGCACTGCCTCCTCAGTGCCTCCAATGGCCACCTAACTGCTTCCCCGTATAGTGGATCTTGCCCCACCAATCCTTCTTCATTCTGCGACAATAATCTTTACAAAACAATCCTGATCACGTTGCTCCTTCCATTAAAACACTTCAAGGCTCCCCGCTCTCTGCAGGATAAAGTGGGGGTATACAGCATCCCGTGATCCAATCTCCCCAACCTCAGGGCCCTCACATCTCACCTGGGACCCTCCACCTGGCCTACTGGGCTCCATGGAGTTTCCAGCACGCCAGCTTGCCTCCCATCTCCCTTCCTCTGTTTACCCTGCCCCCTCCTGATTGGAATATTCCTCTGCCCTTCTTCCCTTAGCAAAATGTACTCACTGTCTAGACGCACCTCTTCCAGGAAGCCTTCTCTCACACCCAACCCCAAAGGGAGCAATGGGAAGCCCTCCTCTTAAACCCCCAGTAAGACCTCTCATACAGTACCTACAATGTCACTGCACTTATCGAGCTCCCGGAAGACAAGGATTGTATCTTGTTTTTTCAATCTCAGCACCTAGCAGTGCCAACTGAGGCACAGGAATTTAATAAACATCAGTGAAATGAATGTATGTTCCAATGGTGGCTCTTGACAGTAGTTCCAAAACTATCTTTTCTACAACTAATATACTATACTTTGCTTTCGACTGCTTATGACATGGGACAGCCTCTTATTCTACTTGTAAATCATTCACAGGGACCAAAACCCATATAGGAGATATAGCCCCTTTTATCCCCTGAGAAATCACTGGTTTTCCATTCCTGAAAGAAGGGTCATACCTCAAGGCACCCCAAGAGCAGAGACTGAGAACTATCAAAATAAGTGACTCCCAATCCCTGGTCCTCCCTTTCTCTGAACTGCCGTCTTGCTGGAAGTGTGTTATCATTTGAGGGAGGCACAGAATGGAGGCACTACTTATGGCAGACAGACCAAGACAAGAGTCAAGACTGGTTTATGAAGTTTACATCTGCTGCCCTTGCCCATGTAGACAGAAAATATCACCAAAAATAAAAACTGACCTCCTTGGTTTTGTGGCTTCTAAGCTCATGAGGGAGACACCCAAAAACAAAGGCACCATCGTTGATTCAGCAACAGGCAGCCCTTGGGCCCAAGATAGAACCTCTGGAAAGCTCTGACCCCACCCAGATTTCCATCTAAAATGTCAAATATCTGCAACGTGGCTGCAACTTAATACGCAGCCAAACCCCTCTTCTCCGGGTACTGATTTCACATTGGAAAATTGGCAATTTAAATAAATGTTTCATTAACATAGTGTTTTCCTGCTTGATGCTAATGTACAAAGAGAAATTTGTTTTCCCAAATTCTTTGCCACAGAATTATTTCATGCAGTCCTCACAGGACAACATGAAACTCTTCAGGTCCCTAAGAGACCAAACAAATAAGAGAAAATGCTTGTAATAAAAAGTACTGTCGAGACCCATTTGTTCCAGAACACACATCACATATGCTGCAAGGACAGGAAGATCCCGACCACCTCGGTGGCGCTCGGTTTGTACTGATGGCAACAAAGCCTCGTTCAGTGGGCACAGTTGGTCCCTAAGACACAGAAGTGGGACAGTTTACTCAGGCAAGCCCAGACAGTGTGACACTTTGTTTTGAGACCCAGTAAGGCTTGTTCCCTTTCTGTTTCACTTATCTGTACACGGATTCTTGCTCTGTGCTGATTTCAAATCCCCAAAATTTCAAGGACATTTCTAGCATCTTTTGCTAACAGGAGAGCTTAAAAACTTCATAGCACAATGCTCGGATACACTCCACTCACACAAAAGCAGGCCTCATATAAAAGTTTGTTCCCTCAAACCTTGGGAGACATGGGGGGAATGGCTTGACCCTGAAAATGAGGGGACAGGCCTGGACACCATGCTAATGGGAGACCATCTTTTGGGAGGATCCAACCACATCAGAACAGTTCTCTGCACCTTTGAGCTGGAGGCATTACTCTGACTCAGTTCTGAGATGCTGGGATAGGGCGTCCCAGGTGGCACTAGTGGCAAAGAACCCACTTGCCAATGCAGGAGACATAAGAGACCTGGGTTCAATCCCTGGGTCAGGAAGATCCTCTAAAAGGGAAAGGCAACCCAATCCAGTATTCTTGCCTGGAGAATCCCATGGACAGAGAAGTCTGGCAGGCTACAATCCATGGGGTCACAAAGAGTTGGATATGACTGAAGCAACTTAGCACACACGTAAGAAATAAACATTTGGTCACTGAGTTGACCAAAATATGCAAAATCAAATATACAAAATATACAAAATCAAATATACATCTGGTCTTGTCCACAGGTCCCAACTTCCAGCTCACAAAACTCTTGGAATTTCCAAAGTGTTGAGAGACAAAGGTGTCTTTGTTATGTGAACAAGTTGACTTCTAGAAGCACCAGGCTGGAGGCTATGTGTGTGTCTTAGTCACTTAGTCGTGTCTAACTCTTTGCGACCCCATGGACTGTAGCCAGCGAGGCTTCTCTGTCCATGGAATTCTCCAGGAGTGTGTTGCCTTTCCCTTCTCCAGGGGATCTTCCCAACCCAGGAATCAAACCTGGGTCTCCCGGATTGCAGACAGAATCTTTACCATCTGAGCCACCAGGGAAGCCCAGGCTGGAGGCGAGGTGCCAGGAGAACCAATCATGTGACTAGAGGGTTGGGGCTTTCATTCCCTCCCCCAGATTTCCAGGGAGAGGAGAGGGGCTGGAGGTTGAATCAGTCACCAACGGCCGATGATTTTATCAATCACAACTATATAATGAAGCCTTCATAAAAGTCCTAACGGACAAGTTTTTGTCCCTTTTTGGAGAGCTTCCACGCTGGGGAACTAGAATGCTTCTGTGTTCCACGCCGGCCTCACGCTTCAGGAGGACAGAAGCCTCTTTGTTCGGGACTCTGCCGTGTGTATCTCTTCATCTGGTTCTTAGTATACATCCTTTAAGATCCTTTCATAATAATTTGGCCGTTTAGTGAGTGAACGGGTTTTCCTGAGTTCTACGAGCCATTCTAGCAAACTGATCAATGCCCAGGAGGGGGTCATGGGAGCCTCTGATTTAGAGCCCGTCAGTCAGAAGTACAGGTAACACGCAAGCTTGAGACAGCAGCCTGACGGGGGGTGGTCTTGTGGGACTGAGCCCTTCACCTGCGGGATCGGACTCTGCCTCCAGGTGGATAGTGTCAGGATTGAGTTGAACTCTTGGACACCCTGCTGGCAACTGAGAACCGCTTGCTGGTGAGGGAAAACCCATGCATGCTGGAACTGGGTCCAGGAACCCCATCCAGGTTCTATTACGTGGGGAGCAAAACGAAACTCAGTGAAGAGGTAAAGCAGGTAACCAGTGAGCTCTGGAACTTGCTGGGTGCCAGGTGCCAGGTGAGTGGCAAGAGCAAGGGGCCCACCAAAGACTGTGGAAATCACACTGGTGGGGCTGACTTCCCAGGCTGTGCCACATCTGAGCTGCAAGGTCATGGACAAGTGACTTTCACCTCTGAGCTTCACCTCCTTCTTATAAAATAAAGCAACAACAAGAAGAAACCAATAATAGCACTGGGCACAGTGGCAGCGGCAGCCACCCTTTCACTAGGTGCTGCACACTCACTTAATCCTGAGAACACCTGGGGGATGTTATTAACTCGTTATGGAGGAGGTGCAGAGTTCAGAAACAGCCCAAGGTCACCTAGCTGGAGGGAGTGGCGTGGTCTCAGTTCAAAGCCAAGTCCATCTGACTGCCTTCTTCTTTGGAAAGAATAATGACCTCAAATGACTACTACGAACATTAGGAGATGAAATACAATATGGAAAGTGCTCTGGACGCCCCATATAAACAGCAGTCAGGGTTAAAAAGCCCACTCCTCGCTGCAGGTCAGCATCCTGGTCGCCCTCTCTAGCCACCGTAGTCTCCTACTTCCCTTGCATGAAAAATCCCATCATCTGAGCATGACCCCCAGTGAGGGGGTGGGGAGGCTGTCCTCCTGCACTCACTTTCTCAGGACGGCGATCTCATTCTCAATGCTGCTTTCTTTGCCCTTCAGCGCCTTCTTGGGGATACACTTGACGGCAAAGAGTTTTCCAGTTGCCTTCTCTTCAGCTAAGACCACTTCTGAAAATGCCCCACTGTGAACAAAGAGGGAGAAAAAAAATCAGATTAGATTCAGGAGATCTGGAGACTCCTGACAGCTCCTCTGATCCCACTACCAAAATCAAGAGTAATAGCAACAATAAGAAGGATCCCTGGTGATTTTTTTAATCCAACCACACTCCTAACCAAACGTCTTTATGCAAAGAGTAGACAGAGGCAAGGGCGACCGCTTGCAAAGGGACACGAGGATGTCCACATGGGTGTGGCCACCTCCCCCAGTCACCTGCCACTCTGAGAACAACCAAGCAGTGATAACTCAGGAGCCACAGAAATGCTTCAGGAAGGTTCCTGCAGAAAAGACTACACCCATCTGAAGCCGTCAGCACCCCCAACCCCAAGCAGACAAGAGGGTAATATTCAAATGTCTAGATTCCTCCCAGAACCTTTCAGTCCCAAAAGAATTTCAGAGCACTTTGCAAACCTGAAATTAATTCTCACAGATAGGTAAAAGTGTAATTAATGTGTACAACATGTGGTACTGACATGGGTTAATTAATTGGTAGGGCTGGGCATGGCTGCAGTGAGCAGCTTATTTCTTTTTTAAGTCAAACAAACAAAAACAAACATGATGCCCTGAGTCAGGGAGACTTTCCTGCCTGAAAACATAAATCTTCCTCTGTGACGTCAGAGCCCCAAACTGAAAATGTAACCAGAACATTCAGGCCCAGAGATTACATATCTCCCGAGAGGTGGTCCAGGAGTCCCAGAGGCAGGCTTGTCCGCTCACCTGCCACCTTCTCTATCTCCAGCAGAAAACCTCAGGTGCCACTCTCGGGAGGGGGCACAAGTTCCCTAATGACTCAAAAACAGACACCTTCGTGGTCTGCAGCAGATCTCAGTAATGTGGGCTTTGAGCGGGCCACAGAAAGTTACTGAGTCATTCTCGGTCCCCAGACTTTCAGGAGCAACTCCTATTTCCTCTGAGGGACACTAAACACAGCTGCTAAACAATTATGATCAGAGACAAACTCTCCGGCCACTAGAAGGACCAATGTCATCCCAACACTGGTGTCTTGGGGCCTCTGTTCTTCGGGCAACATCAAAGAGATGCCTAAGCAATGGATGAATGGATAAAGAAGATGGGGTACATATACACAACGGGACACTACTCAGCCATAAAAGAGAACAAAATAATGCCATTTGCAGCAACATAGATGGACCTAAAGATCATCATACTGAGTGAAGTAAGTCAGACGGACAAAGACTCACACCATGTGATATTGCTTAGTGTGAAATCTGAAAAAAATGCACAAATGAACATATTTACAAAATAGAAACAGAGTCACAGATGCAGATAACTTACGGTTACCAAGGGGGGAATTGGGGACCATGGGGAAAACTGGGATATTGGGATTGACACATATACACTACTATATATAAAGTAGATTAAGAAATAAAGACCTCCTGCATAACACAGGGAACTCTACTCAATGCTCTGAAATGGCCTATATGGGAAAAGAATCCAAAAAAGAGTGGATGCCTATATATGCGTAACTGATTCACTCTGCCGTATACCCGAAATTAACACAACATTGTAAATCAACTAAACTCCAATAAAAATTAGTTAAAGAAAAAACAACAGATGCCTAAGCAAGAGCGGACTTTTCTCTCCCCATCCTGTGCCACCAGACAGGGAGAGGCATCTGTCCCGGAGCAAAGACAGACTCACAGACAGACTTTAAATCCTTTCCAGTGGGAGGAATTCACCACTCAGTGCAATTAACTGTGAGTCTTCGGGGCAAGTGTTCCTCCTGAACCCCAACTCTTGAGAGAGGAATCTGTCTTCAAGGCCTGTATCTAATTATAGAAAGCTAAGAAACAGAAGATGGGTAGTCCACAAAAGAACCAAATGGAATATGTCAGAGTAAAGATCACGGGCCAAGTCACAGTCTCCCCCACCCTCCACATGCCTCGCATACACAGACACCTTCTCAACTCAGCCAGAACAGCAATTATGAAACGGAAATACATAAAACCCAGGGCAGATTTATCAGAGTGATAAATGGTATTAGACATTCTCAGTGGCATTTGGTCACTGCCAATGGCTTTCGCCCAAAAAAGCCAATTCATAACAACCTGAGGGAATCCTCCACCCAGCAGCTGCTCTTCCTGCTCATGTGTGTCTGGGGATGGACTGAGGTGAATTCCCCTCCCAGTGAGGGCTCCCGGGGGGAAGGAATGTGAAGGGTTACGGACTCACTCCCGGGGGGAGGGGGACAGGAGGAACTGGGGTTGACACACACATGCCTCTGACACTATATATAAAGTAGACAACCAAGGGCAACCCACGGTACCGCAGAGGGAGCACGTCTCGGAGCTCTCTGGTGGCCTAAGTGGGAAGGAAGTCCAGAGGGGCTGTGTGTACACACACGTGTGCTAAGTCACTTCAGTCACGTCCGACTCTGCAACCCATGGACTGTAGCCTGCCAGGCTCCTCTGTCCACGGAATTCTCCAGGAAAGAATACTGAAGTGGGTCGCCACGCCCTCCTCCAGGGGATCTTCCCGACTCAGGGCTGGAACCCGTGTCTCTTACGTCTCCTGCATTGGCAGGCGGGTTCTTTACCACTAGCGCCGCCTGGGAAGCCCATGTATATGTATAGCCGTACGGCAGGAACTAACACAGTATTGTAAAGAAACTATACTCTAATAAGCATTAATTCTTAAAAAATGGTTACACTGGAAAAATTTGAGAAGCCTTTTCACTCATTACCTCCCTAAAGGAGAAAGAAGTTACATGAATAACTGGAGGCACTGGATGTTACGTACCACTTGACATTTACAAAGCGCTTCGACCCATATCAATGAATCCAATTCATACGGCAACCCAAGAAGTGCGCAGGAAGTTACTGCCATCTGTTTTGCAGAGGAAGATACTGAGGCCCAGGCAATAAGGGTCAGAAAAGAAAACGCAGGTTTCCTAACCTTTCCCAGGGCCTTTTCAAGACACTCTGCTGGGCTGCCAGCAGGGAGCCTGCCCCACAAGAGGGGCGGGTGACAGAAAGGGAGGGTCAGACACTGCCTCTCGGTGAGCTGTCCTCCTGTCCTCCCGGCTCCGGGGTGCAAATCCACCTCACTGCCTCGCTGAGCCAAACGATGTGCATCTACCCAGCTTTAAGCTTTCCAAAGACCTGGAGAGCTCACAGGTCTTCAGGGGATATAAGATAAGCATAAATTGTTATTGTAGAATAAACATAAATCACTGGAAGACACTTTCCCATTCCAAGAAAGCTAATTAAAAATATCAGAAGCAGAAACTCATGAACGAAGAGTGGGGGCACTTTCAGTGTTAATTACACAACAAAGTCAGGCATGTGTCTGCTTGTGTGCAGTAGGGGGAAGGAGAGGGAGACAGGCAGAGAGAGGAAGGCTGGGAAGGGGGCTGGTCATGGGAAGGAAGACAGGAATAAAAATTATCTGAGAGCCAGAAAGTCTCCAGATAACCCAGGGAGATAAATTGCTAAGAACGCAAGTAGGGAATGACAGTTACCAAGTTATACAAAATACAGGGAGGTCAGAGAAGGTTGCACTCCAGGGCTGTAAGATATAAGTGCTGGGCATTTCATACTGAGCTGGAGAGCCTTTCAGCCAGACTGAGCCACGCTTGAAGCTTGAACTGGCGGTCTGTGCGGTGGCCACTCCTGCCTGGCACCCCCTTGTCCTCCTTCCGTGATCTGACTCTTCCCTTTGTCACCCCTCGACTAGAACCAGGAGGGCTGGTCACTGGGAGGTGGCAGGGGTCTACCAAACGCTATACCCAGGGCTCTCCTGCTGCTCACCCGATCAGTCTCTCGTGTGACCTCTGACGGCGGGAGCCTCCTTCCTAAAACTCCCTCCTTCTTAGTTCTACGACAGCTCTCTCCTTCCATCTGTACATACAGCTTCTCTCATCACCACCTGTTCCTTCTCTTCTCATCAAAAGTCAGCGATCCCCTAAGTCCCATCCTCAGCCCAGTCTTCATCCTATTCTATGCCATCCCCAGGGAAATCTGGGGATATTTCGTTTCCACACCACCACCCATCTCCTCATGGCCCCCTAACCTTGATCTAAACTGTAACCTCCCTCATCTCATCTCGTGTGCAAATCTCGCCTTTCCAGCTGCCTACTAGGGCCCTAGTATCTTCTTCCCTAAACTTCTCTCTCTAATACCTGTTCTCGTTTCTGTAGATTAAGGAAACCAGCCTAGAACTCAACCTCATTCCTTTCCCACTTCCATCACCAAGTAGATCCAGGTTTCCATTAACAAGACCCTCAGATGACCATCTGTCTTTCCATCCCTACACCACTGCTATGAGTTCCAGTTATTCCATTCAGGACTCTCTTCTGGCTCCTCTGGCCTCAGCAAGCCTACTTCCCACCACTATCTTCTACCTATTCCTGGAATTATTTTTCCAAAGCAAAGATCTGATTATGTGGCTACCCTGCTTAAAACACTGAGGCTTCAAGTCTACAGAGGATAAAGTTTAAACTCCTTTCCAAGTTTTCATGGTGTTCAAAGGGCTTCCTGGTGGCTCAGACAGTAAAGAATCTGCCTGCAATGCAGGAGATCTAGGTTTGATCTATGAGTTGGAAGATCCCCCGGGGAAGGAAACGGCAACCCACTCCAGAATTCTTGCCTGGAGAATTATATGCACAGAGGAGCCTGGCAGGCTATAGTCCATGGGGTTACAAAGAGTCGGACACAGCTGAGTGACCAATACTTTCACTTCCATGACTTTCAAAGCTCTCCCCAATTTGACCCCAACCTGCAAGCTCCTCCGCTAGTAGGCCATCCTCCCCAGCAAAAGCATGCCCCACCATGCATCTCCACTCAACCACAAAGGTCAGCTGGCGTTTCCCAAATACACCCATGCCCTTTCACACCACTTGAGGTGGGTTCCAGTCCACCCACCTCCTCTCTTTCTTGAATACCATTCCTTTTTCTTTCTGCTTGGCAAAACTCTGTTTATATTTTAAAGGGCCTCGTGATGTATTTC